GGGTTTTTTTTGTTTGTTTTTTTGGTTTTGTTTTGTTTTGTTTTTAGTGAGGCAGTCGGGGTTAAGTGACTTAGCCAAGGTCACGCAGCTAGTAAGTACATGAACAAGTCTTGTGCTCTAGATTTTAGCAAGACCTTTGACAGAGTTGCTTACAGTGTAGATGTGGATATGATGGAGAAATATGAGTTACATGATAGGGGATTCTCTGGGAGATAAAGCTTCTTACAGAGCCAAGGAAAGAAAAGAGTGTTGATTGTTTGTTCCCTCATTCAGTTTAAACTTGGTTTTCTTTTGGGGGCTGGAGAGTATGAAGAGAGGGTTACATGGGGCTACTATTTGTATCAGGATTCCTTTGGATAGAGGGAGAGGAGTATTATAGATTACTTGAACATATATGTCTTGTAGACTCTTCTAGTTCTTCCTTAGGAATCTTATATTCCAAAAATCTCAGATTTCTAAGTTGTAGGTCTTTGTAAAGGTTATATTTTTGGCTGGCATTTTCTTTTAAAAGTATACATTGAATATTGACTTTTTATCCACTTAGATTGATGTCAGTTAGTTAGAACTAGATAGGATTTTTGAAGGTCCCATTTTTTCTTATCTATAACTGAGAAAATGTATAACCTAGGAGATTATAAATAGATAATTTTGATTAAATAAAAAGAAAGCAGTGTAACCAGCGTAGGAGTTGAGATGAAAAGACTCTGTCACAGAGGCAGCTGGTAGCATAGTGGATAGAATGCTGGGCCTACAGTAAACAGGAACTAGTGGAACACCTGAGTTCTAATCTGGACTCAGATACTTACTGGTCTGTGACCTTGGGCAAGTCACTTAACCTCAGTTTCCTTTAGTTCCCTCAACCATAAGATGAGGATGATGATAACCCCCACTTCAAAGGATCGTTGTGAGGTTCAAGTGAGATGTTTGTGAAAGCACTTGGCACAGTGCATGGCACATAGTAGATGCTGTATGGATGCTTATTCCCTTCCCTCTCCATTTACTACCTGTGTGACCACTTAAACTCTCTGGGCCTCAGTTTCTTCAACTGTAAAATGAGGGAATTGGACTTCATCTTGAAGGCTCTTTCCATCTTTAGATCTGTGACTCTGCAGTACCACCCTAGGAAATAATGGTGCAGTATAATGCACTTGAATCAGAGTCAGGAACATGGCTTCAGATTCAGCCTCAGTTTCCTCTGTTGTAAAGTGAAGGGGTTGACTAGATATGGCTTTGAAGGTTCTTTTCTAGCTCTTTAGGTTTTAGACAGATTTTTAAAGAAATAGGAATTCAGAGGAGGTGGAGTGCAGTTTGTCTTGGTGTAGTCGGGAAGTTTCATAAGGAATTCAGAGGAGGTGGAGTGCAGTTTGTCTTGGTGTAGTCGGGAAGTTTCATAGAAATGGTTAGATCTAAGCTGGGAGCAGAAGACGGAACTAGCATTGAAGTAAAATTTGTGGCATGTTGGGTTAAAGCATACCGTAGTAACTTTGGTATTTGGGTGAGGATAGAAAAAGACATTTGTGAGCCAAGGCAGAGAATTAGCAATAAGTGTTTTGTATTTGGGAGAGTTTGTAATATTTCTTGTTTGGAGTAAAAGATTGTGTGGGGTAGGGCTCGGATTTGTAGGATGACTTAACTTAATTGAGGTCTTTGAAAACTAGGTTTAGACTATAGAAAGTTGCCATAAATGTGAAAGCAAGGGAGTGACAGAACGGAAGCAATCTTAGAGAAAAAAGTGGGTTGTTATCAGTATGAAAGATAAATTGGATCACAGAGATGATAGATAGCTGTTAGGCAGGATATTGCATTAGTGCAAGCATGAGGCAATGAGCAACTATGTACTATGAAAGTGGCAGTAGGGGTTAAGATGTATACATGAAATATTCAAACAAAGAGTTGACAGGATTTAGTGACTATATATAAAGGTTTATAGAGGAATGAACCAGAGAGTGGTATTGTAATATAATGGAAAGAGTTTGGATTTGCATTCAGAGGAATTTTGAATTGTTTGAACTTTGGCTTTGGCATTTATAATCTCTGTGAGCTTGGTCAAGTCATTTAATCCCTGTGGACCTCAGTTATTTCTAAGGTATCACCTCTTAAATTTTATGATCCTACAGCTCCCAAGGTTTTGTGTTTAAGTAACTAGGAGAATTGGTCATATCAATGGTAGCAAATAAATTGGAAGGGGGAGCAGGGGAAATGATAGTGAGTTTGATTTTGGACGTACTGAATGTGAGATGGCAATCCATTGATAGTCATTTGGAATATTCAACTAATAAATTTGTACTTTCAGGTAGATTATTCAGACTGAACTGTCAGATTTCAAAATAAAAGGATTACATAAAGAAGAATTAATGAAAGACTTGATCGTTTGGTGTTTTGTTGTTTTTTAACCAGAATAGAGACTTATTTCATGTTTATGAACAGCAAAGTCAGAATTAGTGTTCCCACATAATTTATAAAACTATATAATCCAACTCCGTAATTTTACAGGTGAAAAAACTGAGGCCCAGAGAGGTGAACTGATCTATATGAAAGTTGTACTAAATAACCTTTGAAGTTGTGAGGTTTAAATGTATGGTGCTGCTAGGATCCTAAGAGCACACAGTTAGTGATAGCTTTAGAATTGATACTTGAATTCAAGACTTTATGTCTCTTTATCCTAATACTCTTCAAAAAAATTATCAAGGCGTAATACTGTACTATATTGTTTTCTTTTTTAAACTTCACTTTCCTTTCCTAGTGGCTCCTCTACTCCTTTCACCCCTCAACATTCCCATGTAATAAAGAAGTGCTCCACAAAATAAATCAATACTTTGACCACGTCTAACAATGGAGGCCTTTTTTGTGTTTTTATAGTATTCTCTGATAAGAGGCAAGAGGCCTGCTGCTTCACTGTCAGTCCTCTGAAGTCTTGATTGGTCACTTCGTGATGAGCTTTCTGATAGTTGTGATGTTTTACAGTGTGGTTTTTCTTTCATTATTGTCTTCATTGTGTAAATTATTCTCCTGGTTTTGCTTGCTTTGTTATGCATCAGCTTAAGTCTTATGTTTCCCTGAATTTTTCATATTTGTCATTTCTTATGGCTCAGTAACCCATTATACTCATGTACCACAATTTGTACCCAATTGATGGGCACTGAACCTCACTGTTTCTCTCTTTTTTTTCCTGCAAAAAAGACTGCAGTAAATATTTTTGTGTGTCTGGGACCTTTCCCCTCTGTGACTTTCTTGGAATACATGATAGTTAATAGGATCAATGTTTCAAAGGTATAGACTGTTTTGAGACTGTTCTGGTATAATTATAGATTGTTTTCCAGAATAATTGAAGCTCCAACAGTTTATTATTATACCTATCTTCCCGTAGTCACTCCAGCATATACCATTCTGGTATTTTGTTATTTTTTTCCCAATTTAGGTATGAAGTGAAACAAAGTTGTTTTAATTTCTGTTTTTCTTATTAGTGATTTGGGAACTTCTTTTGATACAGTTTATCATTTGCTTTTCTTTTGAAAAATAAATGTCTGTTCATATCCTTTGAGTACTTATCTATTGGTAATATAGTGCTTCTTAGGTATTTATATCAATTTCCTACATATTTTGGCTATCAGAAACATTCATTCAATAAACATTTATTAAGTGCCTGCTATGTGCCAGGCATTGTGCTAAGTGCTGGGGATACAAAAAGAGGCAAAAGACAGTCTCTGCCCTCAAGGAACTTAAAAGCCTAATGATTTTTCCCTTCACTCTCTGCTTTGATTTTGTTTTTGCAAAAGTATTTTACCTTTTTGTAATCTTAATTGTATATTTGGTAAATAATTTTCCTCTTATCCATCGATGTGCCAAGAACCTCCTTCCTTTCTCCTCTTTTTTCTTCTTTTTTTATGATGCAGCCATTTGTATTTTGGTCCATTATCCATTTAGAACATACTTTGTTGTGTGGTATAAGGTGGTCTAAACCCATTGCTATCAACCTAGTTTTTTCCCAGCTGTTCTTTTTTGATTTACAGTTTTTTCTCTAGTACTTTTTGTTTGGGGTTTTTTATTTAACACCAAGACACTATGTTTCTGGGTCTTACTCAGCTAGCCTGTCCCACTGATCAAGTTTCTGGTTTGTTTGTTTTTTTCATTAATTTTTTTAACCACAAGTTTTGGTAATTGCTTCTTTAAAATATAGTTTAAGATCTGGTAATGGTAGGTCCCTTTAACTCTTAATTACCCTTTTTTTCCCTTGGGATTTTCAACCTTTTGTTCCTCAGGATGACTTTCGTTACTATTTTGTCCAGTTCAATGAAATAACTTCTTGATAGCTTGCTTTGGCTTTACATCTGTAAATTTATTCAGTGTTGTTCCAGTACTCTTTGACTTGCAACACAGTGCAATTTTCTGGACAGTGCCCTTTTGAAGAGGGGCAAAGTTGGGGAAGAGGAAGAAAGCCCCAAGGAAATCCAGTTCAGCTTTCTAACTAACTTATCCAGAAGCTCCACCCCACTCAATTGGGCATCATCCCTAGAATCACGAGGGTTCCCGTTACAGGGCCCCCCCCCCAAGAAAAGGACGACTCTCTCTACTTTCCACTTGTCACCGTCCTGTTTACTGTTTAAAACCTAGCTGAAGTCTCACCTGCTTCATAAAATCCCCTCCTTCAAAGTGATTTCTTTGAATTTTTAATCCTTTTTGTTTATTACCACGCTTATTTGATAATAAGTTGGTATTATGATTTAATTTTTCACGTGTTTGTCATTCTACCAATTAGCAGGTAAGTTCATTAAGAGCATGTATTTTTGCTTCCCCAATAGCACCATGCAGAATAAAAAATTGCCTTTTGAGTAAACAGGCATACCAGAGAGAGAGAGGTTGGAATAATAGTTCAAATTAAATGAATTGTCTTGGTGTATTCTTATAGTTGGGTTTTCCTTCATTCTCAGTTTAGAACTGATAGTATACAGTAACTAAGACATAGGAATTGAAAAGTGAATTCATTACTGTTTTCTCAACAGGATGCATTCAGTTTGCTTGCTTATTCAGATCCCTGGAGCAGTCCAGTTGGAAACCAGCTGGACCCAATACAAAGAGAACCTGTGTGCTCAGCTCTGAACAGTGCAATACTAGGTAAGTAAAATTTAAAAGCAGGACATAATTGATTCCCTTTAATTTCTGTGCAGAAGGTGCTAGCATTTTAGGACTGGTAAAACAACTTGGGGGACAGTGAAATGGTGCAGTGAATAGAGCTCTGGCTTTGCAGTCAGAAGGACCTGAGTTCAAATTTGGCCTCAGACATTTGACACTTACTAGCTGTGTGACCCTGGGCAAGTCACTTAACCCTGATTTCCTCACCAAAAAGAAAAAAAAAGAGGAAAAAAAAAACCCCAGCTTGGGACCAGCTAGGTACTGCAGTGGATAGAGTGCTGGGCCTCGAGTCAAGAAGGACCCATCTTCCTGAGTTCAAATTTGGCCTCAGACATTTACTAGCTGTATAATCTTGGACAAATCACTTAACCTTGTTTGCCCTTATCTGTAAAATGAGCTGGAGAAGGAAACTGAAAACTACTCCAGTATCTTTGCCAAAAAACCCCCAAATGGGGTCATGAAGAGTTAGACATGACTGAATAAGAAGTGCCCCCCCCACCAAAAACAAAACAAAACAGAACTGGGAGCATCTACCTAACACTATTAGAAAATTACTTGTGTTAACCTTGTAGTCTTTGAATTTGCCCTTCAATCATACTTCCATCTCAATCCTAAACTAGATGAAATCAGAAATTTTTTTACAGTAGTGTACAGTGTGCGTCTTTGTGTACTTCATCTCCTTTACAGTGACAAATTGTTAAAGTTACTTATAAAGAATTTATTAAGAGCTTACGATGTGCCAAGCAGGTGAGATACAAAGAAAGCTAGGAGACTCAGGGAGCTCCCATTATAATGAGGGAGACAGCATTCAGACAACTGTGTCCATGTAAGTGCACTTATGCTCCAGCATGCTATCTTCTCTGGTAATCTCAAAGGGAAGTTAGTAGCAGTGGAACAGTAGGGGATCAGCAACTGAGAAGAGCCTCTTTTTCCCAGTAGGTGGAATTTAGATGAGTCTTGGAGGAAGCCAGGAAAATGAGGAGGTAAAAGTGAGGAAGAGGGAGAGCCTTCCAGGTGTGGGGGACAGCCTGTAAAAAGGAATGGAGTTAGGGAATAGCATTGTGTTCAAGTAATAGAAAGAAGGCCAATGTTGCCAGATTGTAGAGTATGTGGAAGGGAATATTGTTTTGAGAAGACTGAAAAAGGAAGAAGGTGCCAGAATGTGAAGGGCTTTAAAAAACTAAACATGAGGTTTTATATTTGATTCTGAAAGTAATGGAGAGTTGCTGATGGGAGTTGGGGACGGGGGGTGATGTTAGTGGGCATGTGGTGGTGATATAGTCATACCTGTGATCATTTTGGCAGCTGAGTGGAGGATGGATTGGAATGGAAAGACCAACCAGAAGGTTATTGTAATAGTCTGGGCATGAGGTGTGTGACAAGGGTCTACACCAGCCATGACTGAGTGGAGGGGGAGAAAAAAACACACGAGATATTGTGAAAGTAGAAGTAGCAAGATTTAACACCACACTGGATATGTGGGGTGAGTGGGAATAGAGGATGGCATTGAGGTTGTCAACTTGGGTGATGTTGATGCTCACATTTATAATAGGATTCAGTTATTTTGTAATTCAGAAGAGGGAATGCATCGGGGGTGTGGAGGTGGAATAACGAGTTCTGCTTTGGACACGCTGAATTTGAGATGCCCGTGGGATATTTAGTACAGTATGTCTAGAAGTCAATTGGTGATGTGTCTGGAGGTCAGGAAAGAGGATAGGGCTGGACTTACATAACACCTTCCATGTTCCATGCACTGTGCTTAGTGCTTTACAAATATGATCTCATTTGATCCTCACAATAACCCTGAGAGGTAGATGCCATTTTACAGAGGAGGAAACTGAGGTCCAAAGAGGTTAAGGGACTTACCCAGGGTCAGACATGAAGTCTGAGGCCAGGTTTGAACTCTTCTTGATGTTAGGCCTGCTATATCACCTGGCTGGCTGGCTTGGTCATTTGCATGGAGATGATAATTGAACCAATGGGAGCTAATGAGATCAAGTAAGATTGTTCAGAAGAGGGCCAATTACAGACCCACTTTGGCCACATCCAAATGTCTCCTTCTGTGTCTCAAATCCATTACACCTCTGTCAGGAGGTAGGTAGCATGCTTCGTCATCAGTCCTGTAGAATCATATTTGGTTGTTGCATTGATCAGCTTGAACAACTGTATTTAGGTCTTCTCAGATGGTTTTGTCAGATAAAGCAGAGATGGAAGAAAAGTTAAACACCAAAAATTTGACCTCATTTTGACGTGTAACTATTGTGTTTGAGCTTGGTTAGAAAGGAGAGCACCAATTAAAAAAAAAAGTCCTGATTAGCCAAGCTCAGTTAAATAGAAGAAACAGCAGCTTCCTAGAAATTCCCACTTTACAAGGGAGACGAAGATGTTAAGTTCAGAGCATACTTGTAGAAGTCTTTAGTTCACCTGAAAGGGAAACTGAAACTTTTGAGTATTGAATTGAATTGAATTGAATAACCCTAATTCTCCAAGAGCCTTTTCTTCAAGGATAACATCTCCAACAAAGTATGTTCTTCTCAGATGCCTAATTTGAATTTCCTGTAGGCTTACTTAGCCAGTACACATTCACACTGAATTGGTAATACTACTTAAAATGACTAATGGGTTAGAAATTGCCTTGTTATTCAAAGTTAACTATGTAGTTAGGGATATTCTCATTTGTGTTGTTAATACAAAGGTTGCAATCCTGATCAGCCATTAGTTTTCCCCCCTCCAGTCAAACCAGTCTACCTGCTGTTATTCATATCCAACTTTATGTCTGGTATGAGCTCTTTGCCTTTACTCAGGCTACCTACAATGCCTGAACTGCTCCACCTCCTCACAATTCCCAGTGCCTAGCACTATTGCTGTCTCACAAGCACTTTTTGCTTAATAAATGCTTTTGCATTGTTAAAGAAGACATTTCTTGGTTAAACATATATATCCTTTTAAAAAAAGTTCCTAATTGCTGTTTTTCATTAAATTTTCTTTTCCCCCCAGAGACTCACAATCTGCCAAAGCAACCTCCACTTGCCCTAGCAATGGGACAAGCCACACAATGTCTAGGACTGATGGCTCGATCAGGAATTGGATCCTGTGCATTTGCCACAGTGGAAGACTATCTTCATTAGCTATGCATTTAAGAGCTCAGACTTACAACTGTGGCATATAGTCAACATGGAAGTAGACCAGCTCTGCCGATTTGAAATTTAGACTTTTTAAAATTATGTACTGGGGACAGGTCTTTGTCGCTTTACATTGCTTCCTAGTTTACAGCATGATGCAAATGATTTTCTAACTTAGTGTTAGGAGAAATTATTTTCCATCTTTAACCTCTTAGTTGTCTAAGAGTTAATTATATTGCTGAATTTCAGATATTCAAATTTGATAATTAAAAATCCTCTAAAACAATTATCTAAAAAACCAAACCCAAAATCCTGCTTCTTTGGGTTGGGGGAGGGAGGTGCGGGAAGGAACTATAGAACAAGTTGTGTTTGTGTTAGCATGTGGGTGATGTAAACTTCAAATTGGGAGACTTTCCAACCCCCTCCTGCTCCCATTACTAGCAATCAATCCCTGTGATTTGCAAAGTGCATAAACACCTGACAGTTTGGATTTATAGTGTTGATGGAAGAAATGATTTTTAATGTGTACTGTAAAACTTGAAATACTCAGGAGCTGAGTGAATATGTTCGTTGCTACTTACAATCCCAACCTGTTAGTCCCAGTAGTTTTGTTTTAACATGATCTTTTTCAACTTTGTTTCCTGTTTAACTGCAGACAACTTCTGTTGTAGACTCACAAGTTTAACTGTTGTATTATAACAGTATTACATGTCAACAGTGTGGTTACGACCTTTATTTATATAAAAAACCAAATATTTAGTCAATTTACAGTGTCTTAATTTAATCTTTGTACACCTTCCATTTTTAAGTGCTTAAATGAGTACTATATTGCAATAAAAATGTAGTGATATAATTAACCAGCCATTAAAAATTTACTTCTACAGATATTAGAGTTGTATGCATTTTAAATTATAAAATTAAAATTGGGTACAAGCAAAGTAAAACTAAATTAAAATACTAATGCTGCTTATAGTTTGGCCATGACTGTTGGAGCAGTATAAATTTAGGAGTGCTGGTTCAGTTTTGCTGTTTTTTTTCCAGTGTGGGTTCAGTTCCTAAAGCTTGAACGGGGAAAGAAACAAGTCCAGCAGGTACAGAGAAATGGGAAATTCTTTTTTCAGGAGGATGGGTTTTACTAAAAAAACAAGTCATCTAAGTCTGTATTTGCCATTACTGAAGTTAGTCAGATGAAGAACATATTTGTTAGTATTGGTTATTTCTTCCAATTGCTTTGAAAAAAGTGAAAGCTTTGCTTCTAGCTGTTTTGAGTCCTTTAGCCTAAGGGAAAGGATGACACCTTAATCTTTACCCATTTTAGATCAGTTCTGCTAAACTAATGGCAAGATGCAAACTAGACTTATTTTTAAAACATTTCTAGTAACAGCCTTGACAACTACTTTTACTTTAGCTACAATATAAGAAAAATAAAATTTGGTACCTAAGGCTTTTTTCCTTCAGTTGAAAAGGCCTTTACACTTGGGGAGTTCAAAATGTTATCAGATATCTCTAAAAAAAAATCCTTTTGTTGCTCTGCTGTTTGTTATATGGGGTTTTTCTACCTAAAATTGCTTTTCTTATAGGCTGTGAAGCATTTAATTGATATATATACTTTAATTTCTATGGACAGTGTGTCATAGTGGAAAGAAAGCTGACTTTGAATCCATTTGAGCTATGTGACCTTCACAGAGTCACTCGAATTATAAGCTCTAGAGAATTCTCTTAAGATTCCTAACACTTCAAAGTCTTAAGTTGCAGAGAATACGCCACCGTACCTTGGTAGAGAAAGCTTCCCAGTCCTTATTTATTTTGAAGCAGGTAGGCTGCAGGGTGTAGTAGCACTTATGCTCAGAGACATAAAGACCTGAGTTTAAGTCTGCTTTCAGGCACCAGCTCTGTGACCCTGGGCAAGTTATTAATCTCTTTGGACCTCAGTATCCTTATTTGTAAAATGAAAGGACTGGACTTAATGGCCTCCCCAAGGGTCCTTCTGCCTAAAATGCGGCCCAAAATTCTCTGAACCACTCACTTTATTTTACAACCTGTGATTTTTTTTTGGTGGTCTGAGTTCCATAGACCTGTACTGCACGGCAATATTCCTATCCTAGACCAGATGTGACAGTCAGTTAATGACGATAAATGTGGCTGAAGCCATACTGAAAAAAGAGCTTACTTTCTGGTATTTGTTAAGAGACAGCTGTTCATGTTTTTGCTTTTCATAACTTAAGAAAAAAATGATTTCCAACAAAACTGTTTATGTAAGGGGCATGGAGCTCAATTCCCATGATTTCAGAATGACTCAGAAGTTCCTAATCCATAATTTCATGTAAGTAGGACTAGTTCTTATTAGCCAAAAAGACTCTGGTACATAAATGGAGACAACATATGCAGTTCAAAAGAGAAAACAAACAAGTTCTAAAAAACAACAAAACAGGTTTAATAAATTCTGTGTGATCTTAACAGTATGATCACTTAATAAAGAAATGGGATTCAAGTAATATTTGGTCTTCGGGAAGCTAGCTTTTTATGCATCCACTGTTTTTTGAACTTCTTGGCACTTTGTTTTCTCTCTGTTCCTAAAACAAACAAATGTTGAATGCTAAGAACATTTTACATTTAAGTAATCCCCGTGACAATGTGCAAATCAAACTTATTTTAAAAACTGGAGCATTAAAAGAATAATGGAGTACTACAATACTATGAATATGGAACATTTATATTATGGATATAAGTGTGCATATCATACATGGCAAAAATGATTTAGTTAAAAAGCTTTAGAGGCTGAAGTCTAACTATAAATGAATTGATATCAGCTAATCAACCTGCAGTGTTATTTTTTAAACAGAAATTACAGTAAGAGGTAATGATAAAGCACTAGATTTGAACTCAGAAAAATCTGGATTCGAAACCCGTCTGACAATGCTTACTGCCTATGACTAAGTTAACTGACATGTCTGAGCCTCAGACAACTCCTTAAGATAGGCTGTTACAGTATGATTTGCCCACTGTGGTCAAAATTATGGACCTTGTGTCCACAAAACTATAATTTGGACCTGTTTTCAAGAGACTTTTCTTAAAAAAATTAACTCTCTCTTCTCTCTTCCTATAAAAAGTTTTTTAACCAGCCCTGCCTGTTTCAACTTTCGTAGACAATAGCCAACACCTGAAAGGAAGAAGAAACTCAAATTACTAACTTACCCCAATTATTATTCACAAACTGGACTGCCGGTTTCTTAACAGGCAACCTCTTGTTGTCAAGGGAAAGAAATTTGTTTACTGAAAGAAAAAAAAAAGATTTAACTTTTGACCAAGGCAAATTAAATGTTAATTAGGCAAATAATATATATGAAATCAGGTTACCAGTAGTTCTGTTGCTCCCTCGACCATATAAATACTTTTGTATGAAGCCTTTGGCTGCCTGCTGCCTTAAATCTATCAGATCTTGGTCCTTTAGTCTACAGGCCACATACCTCTTCTTTACTCTGGTAACCAAAATGAAAAGTTGAAATGAATGAAGCAAAATGAACATTTAAACCCCCCCCCCAAAAAAAACCCTTTATTATATCCATACTATTAATAACTAGATAATAGCTAACATTTATATAGTGTTTACTAACGTGCTGGACACTGTGCTAAATGCTTTTACAATTATTATCTCATTTGATCCTCACAACCACCCAGGGAAGTAAGTGGAATGAGGAGTAAGACAAACAGGTTAAAGGTTGCTCAGGGTCACACAGCTCAGTTAAGTGTCTGAAGTTGGATCTGAGTAAAAAAAAACTGCACTCAATGCTTAGGAACTTAAAAAAATATTTTTGTTGAACGCCTCAAAGTTTTATAACTTTCACTGAACTCAAACAACAGAAATACTTAAGTCTATACAAATAGATCCAAATTTTGAAAGTCTACTTGTATTACATTACATATACTTTACTAAAATCATCCTTATTTCGATAATCTCTCTAATAATTGTCCTCTAAATGTCACCTTCACATATCTTGGTACAACAGGAGCTTATTACCTTATGGGGAAGGTTTTTTCTTCTTTTTTTCCCTTTTTCTCACTTTCCAAATTACCTAGGACAAAAGGAAGTAAGCATTTACATCATACCTACTACGTGTCAGGCATTGTGCTAAGCATTTGCAAATATTTCATCTTCAATCCTTTGAGGTATAGGTGAAGAAACTGAGACAGACAGCCTAACTGACTTGACCAGGGTCATAGGCAGGATTTGAACTCAAGTCTTTGGTACTCTAGACCCAATTATTCTTATCTACCATGCCATTCAGTTGATTTACTTACAAAATTGCCCTTTGGTACTCACATTCTTAATAAGAACATGAGAATTCTAGTGAAATGGTTAATTGAATCCAAATTACTATGATGTGATTTAATTGCATGAATAATGTCCTCTCCTACCACATTCAAGTACAGATAAGAAAACCTAATTTTTAAATGCAACCTTCTATCTATATATAGCTTAGAAATGATATAACATAATCACAATACTTCATACCTGTTTCCAGTCTTGGTAATGATTCATTTGTTCTAATAAAAATGGAAAAATAATTGATTAGAATGGCTGTTGCTATCAGCAAAAACCTTATAATATTTTGTTTTCTACAACTAACAAAGAAGAGGGTACAACAAAATTAAATGTCATAGGAACCTCAACCAATTTTGGAAAAATCTTTGTGACTCTCCAAGGTCCCCCCAAATCTGACCTTTCAGTTTTATAAAGCTAAGAGCTTACCATGTGTAAGGCACTAAGTATGCAAAAATAATCCCTCCCCTCAGAGCTTATATTCTACTTGTGGAATATGCACGTATGAAGATAAGTATACTAAGAGTAATTTAATGAGAAAAACTAAAATACCTGAGGAGGATCAAAAAAAAGTACCAGTAGGAAGGAGGGCATTTCTGGACATGGAGACCACCTATGCAAACGCATAAATGGGATGTCCAAGGAAGCCAGTTTAATTAAGATGAAGAAGGGTATGCAGGAGTGTAAGGCTGGAGAGGGAAGTGAAAGTGAGACAGTAGAGGGCTTTAGATGCAAGTAGATAGGGATGATCTGTTTTTGAGGCTTATCAATTTTCCTAACATGTCAGTGTTAAAAACAAGATGAGTCAGTACACAGTAGGTTAAGCAGGAGTAACTTAAGATTTAAATTTTTGAAATCTGAGAACAAACACATTAGCAGACTTCCAATAATCCTTATGCAAATCAAGACTGCTCACATTAAGGAAGTTAACACAGAATCTCAAATACTTGCAGTATACATTCTTAGAAGAAACTAAGTAAGATACTCTATCACTCCAATTAGAGAAATGAAGAGGGAAGGTATGACTTATAGTATTTCCTGTTAATCTGAAAAGAAATGGAGAGGTACTTTGTCTCTCTTACCCCATTAAATTAAAAAAAATTTGAAGAGCTTTTTAGTGACAAGTTGTCCTGTATTCCTTAGAGAGTTGTGCCACAGAGTAGTACAATTATTGACTCCACTTCAAGAACTGAACTATGAGGAAAAACCCAGAAACTTATACAATTTGAAATCAGCAAAACACAGTTCTTACTTAGTCTGGGGAGCCGAAGTTAATTCCTCTAGGAGAGTGGCAGGAAGTAGTTTTCTTTTCTTGGAGGGGGAAAAAAAACAGCATTTAAAATTACTACCAGAGGTACTCACCAAGATGTATTAGTCAAAGGACTACAATGAATGGCAGCATGATATAATCAAGAGCATGGATTTTGGAATCAAAGCACCTTAGTTCAGATCCCAACTTATTCCTTATAACCTGTGTGACTGTGGACAAATCACTTCATCTCTTAATTTCTTCATCTGGAAAATGAAGGCTTTGGACTAGGATGGCAATCTGTCAAATCACTTCGAGCTTTAAATCTATGATCCTGTGACTCATGAAAGCAAAATAACTGAAATGAATATTGCCACAAATATCTCCTACACCATCCCCAGGAATGACCTACCTAAATTCTCAGAGAACCTCTGGATGGGAGATTCAATAGCATCTTCCAGAATAACTGAATGGGGGCATAACTCAAACACTGAGGTTTGTACTAGCCTTCACCTACACTGAATTTTAACACTTTCTCTTTGGGACTTCAGTTCTTAAGAGAGCACTCACACAAAATCTGCCCCCCACTTAGGTTGTAATTAATGTCTACGAAATAAGTTAATGTTTACATTTCTACAGAATTATTTTTAGCAACTAGTCCCCTGGGGATTTCACCTGTTCATCAACATTCATGGCCTCTGGTCAAAAGAAGGCTGACTTTTCATCAGTTCCAGGTAAATGATAAGGCATCCTCTTTGCTTCACACCTCTTCCCCTTTAAAATATATTGGAGGGTCTATGGAGAAATTAATCACTTCTCCACCAGAGTACACTACTCAAACCTGCTACTTTCCCATGAAGGAAGATTTTAAAGGACTCTTATTTGCTAAGAAAGGCTTAAAATTACAATAAAATTTAGACATTATGTAACAACTACAGATGGAGAGGGCAAAAGCCTGCATTCTCACAGGAATCTCAACCAAATCAATATAGGTAAACAGAGTACATACATAGTCTATTGAAATATACCAAATAACCCTTCCAAGTGGAAAATGGAGCTACGAGGCCGGAGCTAAGTGCTATCAATACTTGAATCCATTCTGTTGAGAGTCAGGTGCAGGGCTAACATCAGTCACATTTTCCACCAGAACGGACACAGCAATCAGGACCCTACATTTCAAAATCTGGGGTAAGACGCCTGCCTTTATGGAACTCTACAACCTCGTCAAGGGTTAAGACACACAACGCAGAGCGCTAAGGCGATGTCCACGCGGAATGCACAACACAGTGCTTGGAAGTGGGAGAGAGCAGGCAGGCTCTCTGCGGGAGGGCTCACTTGGAGTGAGCGCAGGAGCAGGGATCGTGGGGCTCGGGGGCCACCCGCTGGAAGCTTGCCCGCGGCCACGTCTGTGGGGGGGGGTCTTCCAACCCCCCGGGGTCCCGCCCCAGGCCTCTGACCTTCTGCTCCGTGAACAGCTCCTCCCGCCGCTTCCTCTTCTCCTTCAGGAGCTCCTTGTCCCTGCGGAGAAAGGCCGGGCGAGGTGAAGGCGCTCGGGGAAAGTGGCCGCGATCGCGGCCCGCGGGGGGGGGGTCCCGCGCACCGCCCCCTCCCCGCCCCGCGCCGCGCCGTTCGGGGGTGGGGGGTGGGGCGTTACCTGCGCAAAGCGTCCCGCAGCCGCCGCTCGTCTTCTTTCGCCTCCGCTTGGGCGCTGGCGAACGTTACCTCTTCTGGGGCTTCATCTTCATCCTCCTCCTCCTCCTCCTCTTCCTCGTCGTCGTCCTCGTCCTCGTCCATCGCCTCGGCTGTTGGGCCGCCATCGGGGAACTCCAGGTCCGGCTCTTCCTCTTCGGAGACTTCTTTCTCTGAGTCTTCTTCCTCGTCCCCCCGGCCCAACACTGTCCTGGACGACAACGCGCAGCGAGGTCTCCGCGGCCGTAGATTGACCATCTTTCACCCTACCTCCGGCCCCGCGACCCGGAAGTGGCTCAGAGTAGAGAATAAAGAAGTCACGTGATGTGGAGATAAGCAGGGGTTGCTGCTGCCCCCAACAGGTCTGGAGGACCCGGCGCCACGTGGTAAGCGCCAACCCGAATTTGCGCATGCGCTCCTCTTTGCTAACGGACATCTACGTAGGTGACCAACTGCAATTTACTAGCCACTCCCCACCCCAACCAATGCACCACCCCCACCAAACTTCAAACTCAACATATGCAACACAGAATTTATTATATTCCAACTAGATGGCACATGGCTAGAGCACTGGGCTTGGAGTCAGGAAGACCTGAGTTCAAATGTAATCTCCTATGCTTACTATCTATGTGACCCTGCGCAAGTACTTAACCTGTTTGCCTCAATTTTCTCATCTGTAAAATGGAGATAACAATCCTATCCACCTCCCACTTGGCACATAGTAGGCAATATATAACTGTGAGCCGTTATTATTAAATTTCTCCACCTCCTCCCTCATTCAATCCTTCTCCAAATTTCCTTTCCTCTTTCTAGGGCACCACCCCCACCATCATTCCAGTCATCCAAGTTTCCCAAGCTGAATCCTTATCAATTATTCCCTGTTCCTCACCTCACTCTGTCGAATCAATTGCAGAGTGTTTTGTCTTCTCCTTCTCCAAGATATCTCCCACAAGTCTCCTCTCCCCTCACACAGCTAGCACCATAGTGCTGACCTTCATGATCTCTGACCTGGACCTATTGCAATAGCCCCCTCATTTAGTACCCCCACTTTTGGTCTCTTCCCTCTCTAATTTATTCTCCACGTAGCTACTGTCAAAATATTTTGGAGACACCCTATTTCCCAGAGCCAAGGCCCAGCAAGCAGGCTGTGCCCTGACCTTGGCATAACAACAATCCTTTGCACTCTGGGTGATCTCACCCTCTGGCAAAGTGTATTGCGCCAGGTGTTCACTCCCCCTATTTCCCAGGGACCTGAGAGCCAACATCCTTCAAGCCTCTGACATGCTCACAATCCCTTTTCCTTGTACTGTCCTGTTCCCATCACAAAACTCTGGTTTTGTACCCCACAGAGTAATCACAACCCCCAAGACTTGGGACAATACAGGACCTGTAGGTACAAAAACTCAAGACCTAAAAATGATTACATCCTAGTTAGTCCAGCCCAGTAGGTATGTAAGCAGTGCCTGTACCCCAACGTGTTAAGCCCTCCTACTCAGGAGGACTTCTATTTGTGTTTTCCTCCCTCTGAAACTAATTAAACCACTATCTGATTCCAGACACGCCTACCTCTGGCTTACTATGTTTCAGCTCCAGCCATTCCCAGGTTAGAGACTGGTCCAGTATAGACTGCATTCAAAATTCTGTTGACACCACCAAATTAATATTCCCAAGGCATGAGAATGTTACTCTTTCCCCCCCAAAATAATGGAATAGTTCTTTATTGCCCCAACAATAAAACAAGATTCCCAGACACTGAAAACCCTCCCTTCTCACCTACTTTTCCTGGCTACTTTCTGCTTCTCCTTCAGGCACTTTCTTTTCTAATCAGACTAGCTTGAGAGCTGTTCCCCAGACAGCAGTCTGTTCTCCTGCCTCCCTTCCTTTGTCACAAGTAATCCCCTATGCATGGAATGATTCCCTCCTCACCTATACCTTGTAGGATCCTAGCTTCTCAAAACACAGATCAGCTGCCACCTATATCTGATGTTTTCTTCCCCTCAGTTATTTGTACTCTCTTCCTTTTGAAATTACTCTTTTATTTTATAATATTTTGAATTTACTTGTTTACGTATCTTTTGTTTTTGTTTCTGAATGCCCAGCAATGGCACCTTTTACACAGAAAGCAATTGATAAATGTTTTACGGAATTTCATGCCTCATCAGTACCCTCTGGTTCTGGTCCCCTTCCTTCTGACAGGAAGGTGGAGAGCTCCTCTCAGAATCTCTATTTAAGGAGGAAGCCCAAGACAGCCAACTCTTCCATTTCCCACCTGGCAGCACTCCTCCATCATACTCCCTTCCTAGGTACCTTTCCTCTCCCTTGACTCCCCTACCATCTTTTCAGTTTTCTGGTGTGTCATCTTCTCCCATCAGAATGTAAGCTACTTGAGGGTAGGGACTATCTTTTTCCTTTCTTTGTATACAAAGTATGGCACATAGTAGATGCTTACAAAATGTGTATTGGCTGAATTGACTTAAGGGGCTTAGCTCAAAATTAAGCCCCCTTTTTTTCCCTCAGGAGCAAAGTTAAAGGTTAATCTGTGCTAAATCATTCATTTTGGTCAGTCTGGACTTCTGTCAGAACCACCCCACATTTTCCAGCTAAATTCTTGAACTGCTTTCAAGAAGAAAGATTTTAATGCTATTTAACCCAACATCTCCCCCGGGGGTCTGGTAAGTGCCCTCATCTTGTATCCCCAACTCTCTTCTCTTTCGGTTGAGTTCATTTATTAGGAGAAAACTGGGATTGGACACCAGGGCTGGTAAAGGCCTGGCAACATCTGAGGCCCAAAGGGCTTGGGAATTTGTGGCCATGGGTGGGGACTGGTGAAGATCCCACAGTTGAGACTGATGAGTCTCAGGTTTTACAGGTTAATCAGGGTTGGGAACTGATTAAAGCCCTGGTTTTTAATTTAGGAGTTCACATTACTTGGTGAAAAGAAGATTCTGAAATAAAGTAAGATCTTGGTCAAGTTCCCATAAGTAACCAAACATCCAAAGATGCTGAAGCCACCCCCTCTAAAGGAGGCAGTGGCTGACCATGTCTCTATGTTATGGGCCTGAAATCTGCAGGAATCTGACTAATTGGCAGAAATTGACTCAAGACGAGTTCCCCCCCTCTTTCTCCCCATTATTGGCCAACCTGGGGTACTTTTGATTGGGATAAAATAAATTACCTTAAGAAATGTCTTGATGAAGCTGGCAAGAAAATTAAATAGCCTGAGCTTTTAATAAAATGGCTACTCGAACCCACTAAATGAGAACCCAAAAGTACCTTAGTGTCTGTTGTAGAAACATCAAACAAATTGAAGAGTGAAAAGAAAGAGGCAGAAGACCAAATCTGTTTCCTCCAAAGCAATGTCCAAACTCTTTCCCTGGATAATCAGAATTTTATCATTCAGTTAAAACAGGAGATCAGAAATTTGTGTGCTTGAAAGCATGGGCCTCTCCCAGAAAACATTTATTCACTCCTCCCTAGGAAAGATTCACCCCCTCACTCGTGAGGATGAAAAAGGGAAGGGGGAGGCCCTCGAGGCCCCAGCCCTGATACACCAGTTCCTTTTTAAAATCAAGAAGCAGCCCGGGGTCAATACTTCAACTCATTCCTTTAAATTGAATTATGTGACATCTTATTGAAAGATTTCTTTTTTGGGGGGGGGGGCAGGGCTAGGCAGTGGGGCTAAGTGACTTGTCCAGGGTCACACAGCTCGCAAGTGTTAAGTGTGTAAGGCTGGATTTGACCTCAGGTCCTCCTGACTCCAGGGCTGGTGCTGTATCCACTGCCTAGCTGCCAATACCACCCCACCCCCCACCCCTTCCCCGCCAGAGATTTCCAAAGGGGAAAATGCAGCCAGCCAGAAAAACTGCTAAAAGGCTGAAGCCAAAAGACTGAGGAAGACTAATGAAGTTTCATACTTAAGACAACTCTCTGAGTAAGCAGGACTAATTCCCACTTCAGACTTTCCACAGGAGATTAAGTTATGAGGAGGAAAAAATACCCGGCAAGACACTTTTTCCTTGTCATTTCAGCCTTGGCCACATTGAATTACAGAAGCAAAGTTTGTAGAACTGCTAAAAATATTTTAGTAGATTTTGGAGTTGGGGAGATTAATCTTGAAGGAGTTTGGAGGTTGATCATTTTAAGATTGCAGGGGAGAACTCCTAGGATTTTGGATAATTCTGAGAACTCACCTCATTCTGAAATATCTTAGTGAGTTTTGGGGTACCAATCTAGAATTTGTTTTAAGGAAAAATAAGAATTAAGTAAAAGATTTTTAGGCAAATAGCACCTAGATGATTTTTCCTGAATATTGATGGCCTTACTGTTTTAATACCAAGAAGGAAGGCAGCTAGTTTGGAAGTAATCCCAGACTGAAGGAAAAAAAAAAAAACAACAACATGACATATTAATCTTTTTTTTTTAAGTCAATTGGGGTTAAGTGACTTGCCCAGGGTCACACAGCTAGTAAGTGTCAAGTATTTGGTCTGAGGTCGTATTTGAACTCAGTCCTCCTGACTTCAGGGCTGGTGCTCTATCCACTGCGCCACCTAGCTGCCCCTTGTAGGTACTTTCATACCCCACTGTGAAAACTCCCTCCATAGGTGCTATGGAAGTAGGCAACAGGATGTGGAAAATGACTGGATGTAAGAGTGAGAAGGCAAAGTCAAGGATGACTATGAAATTAGTTTAATAGACTATGAAAAAGCCTGAAAAAGGCTGAGAGGATGGGTGATGCTAAGATAAACACCAAACATAAACAACATGTGCTACACCATTAAAATTCATTAACAGAAAAAATAATAATAAAGTATACCAACAGAGAAATATCTTGGGTGAATCTCTTTATACAACAAATTACAGTGAATTTATTTTCTGCCAAAGTATTTATGTAAACATCAGAACTGCGGAAAGGTGAAACTTTAGCCCCTGCCCAAAAAAGCAAATCCACATGCTCATATTAGGAACATAAAAAAATACTATTAGAATTACAGATTAATTACATATTATAAATCTAGATAGCTGAATATAGTTTTTACCACAACTATAAAATATGGAATAATCAATTTGGAAGTCAGGTTTTAGTTCAACACAAAATGGGTGTTTGATATCATCATCGTGACTGACCACCAGAATGTCTATTGATTGGTTACATTCCTAGTTCTGAGGGCAGGAGACCATTCTCTGTCTATCTACAAGGTTTCCCCCACTTCTTCCCACCCCCCTATTGGTTTAACTATTTGTAACCAAGTACTTATGAATTTTTTTTTTCTCATGCTCACAAATAATCAACAAACTTTTTCAG